GAGCCCAAACTCCAGTCCCACCAAATAGGGGAAAAAGAAGAAAGATTAGGGGTGTGACGCAGTAGTAGAATGCCTACCTAGGAAGCACAAGGCCCTAAGTTTAAACCTCACAACTGCCAAAATAAATAAATAAATAAAAATCCTGATGCCTCTCTGGGGGTGTAACCCAGGGTAAAGCATTTGCCTAGCATGTATGACACTGTGCTAAATTCTCAGCACTATGACAAAATAAAATAGAATCTCAGTGCTTAGGTCTCATCCCAAACCAATTACATCAGGATTACTTGAAGTAGTAGGACTCAGGCATCAGTTTTAAAAACTCTTCAGGTGATTCTGGTCTTCAGCCCAGGGTTGACAGTGGACTCACTGTCCTAGAAGATAGGGACAACGTTTCCTAAAAGGAGCTGTAAGCATGTTAGACACCCCAAGCAGGGGGGTGAAGGTCCAAGAGAATTTCTTCTATAATGTTATCCCTTGCTTTCTGCATGGAACCAGGAAGGAAATGGGTGTGCAGACAGCCCTCACACACCAACAGCCTATACAAGATCACTCTAATTAGACCTTACTAATTAATCTCCATTCAGAGAAGGGAGCCCATGTCTGGAAAGTCCCCACAGCTGGAGTTAGCATCACCAAGGTTTCATTTTAATTGTACTGTACACATACTCCTTGAGGTTTCCCTCTTGCCAGTCCCCCAAATTCTGGCTGCTTCAAGGGTTGTTTGATGTCTCACCTGTTACGTTTTGTTGTATTTGCCTTTTTGTTTGGAACAGATTAAAAATAATGAACCTTTGATCAACGTGCTTTACAAAGTGCTGAAGAAGTCAGCACAGGGCTGTCGGCCCAGGAGAAGCGTAAGATGATCTGATCCATGTCTCCAAGTGGGGCCATTCCATTGCTTCTGGCTCAGTGCAGGCTCCATCACTTGCTTAACCAGTTGCTCTCCTGATCGCCCCACACTTCCTGCAAGTCATTTTGGTTTATTTTCTTTAAATTGAAGCTCTTTTCCACATTGTGGCTGATACACAGGCTGAGCCGCTCATCTGTGGTGTTCTGCGACTCCACTTTTTGTGCTGCCAAGGGGCGGGGAGCTTGCTTGGCTTGCCACCAGTTTATGTCATGTTTTCATTCTCACTTGTCTGCCTCCATGGTGAGGGCTCACCTAGACAGGGTTGAGTATGATGAGTGTTCTTGGGAGGGAGCAACACTTTTAAGGGTCATTTTGGAGGAGCCAGGTGTCCTCAGATTCCACCGGGACCCTGGCCTCTTCTTTAGGACAGGGTGTTGATATTTGGATCACAGTCTAGAACTGGACTAGAACAAATGGCCAACACAGATGTAGTGATTACAATATGGTCAGTCCTTGGAGGACTGCAAGGGAGGCTGCAGATTGGAGCAGATGTTGTGTCCTGAGCCCTGGGAAAGTGTGTTGGGATGAGGTGGAGGGAAGGTCAGATGCCCTGGGGCTTTGATTCCATTTTGATGCAGAGACTTTCAAATGGATGAGTACCTATGGGACCCTCACTTTTTCTGGTGACAGATACTAGGAGAACCCATTGCTGATGTTTTCAATGAACTTAAATATTGCTATCACAAAGCACAATTTGAAAAGCAAAGTTAGCTGTAATATGCTATGTGTGGATATAATGTTTCTTAATAGTTTTAGCTCTCAGGAACAGAGCTACATTCAGAGGATTAAAGGGCCTCTGAGCTGTCAGAAAGCCCATGCTCTGTAGACTGTAGCATTTACTCTATAGGAAGCAAAACCAACCTACCTGAGTTGTTGTGAGTCACGAACTCACAGAGCAAATACTTCTGGAATATCCCAGATAAGGCAGGCTGGGCTTTGAAGATACAGAGAATATACACTCTAGTCTCACAGTCACCCCTAATTAGGTGACTGTCAGTGAAGAGAGACAGATGAGCAAACAGAGCATTGCAATCTCATGTGCTAAGAGGCATAGTAGTGACAGACACAGGGTGTGGGAGGGGCACCCTGAAGGGCATGATCCAGTCAAAGGGAGGAAAGAGATGTAAGCACTTTACTTCTGTTGAGCTATTGAGTTCTTTGAATTCCTAACTCACAAAACCTTATAAGCAGTACAACAGAAGCCTACTTCTTTAAAAAGAAGTGCTAATATCCCAAGGGGTTGGGGGAAGGTTGAATGTATATTCAGTATTCTAGGAAGGCAGTGAAAGGAATACTTACAGAAAGCTTTCAAGTTTAATTTAGAAGATTCAGCTTTCTCAGAATACCCTTTGTGTATAGAATATCTCATTTTTTGCTGATGGTGCTGGATAAATGAGGCATTGCTCAGTTAGATTCTCTGCCTTGTTATTTAAGTATCAAAAAGGTATCTTCCATAAAAAACTTCAGTGAAATGAGGGGAAGAGCTTTGTTGGGGGGAGCCCAAAAACATATCTCAATTTAATAGTGATTTCTAGCTAGGAAATGAGCTAAGAGTCAGCCTCTTTGGAGAAGAAACCAACTCATTGTCCTCTGCTTTGATAGAATGACTGTGACAGAGTAAAGACCTCATCACTTTCACCTGCTTTTTCTCTGGCATTCTCTGAGTTTAGAACCCAAATCCTGCCTGGGAAGGACAGCTGTTTGTGGTGCACCAGGGTTAATTCCATGCCCTTCCTTTTACTCCCTCTCCTGTCCGCCATCTCAGAGACAGCACTGTTTGTGGATCGTAGGGGTCTATGTGTTCTGCAAGTGTGTGTGCGTGTATTTACACATAATCTTCCAGTTCAAGAAGCAGAATTTGCTGGAATTCTACTTTTCCTGTGAATCTCTACAGACCTACATGTTAAGCATTTGCCGAATGCCTTGCATTTTTCGAGGCCTTATGTTCAGGCTTTACCCTGATCAATAAGACTGTGGTCCAAAGGTATTGTGGGAATAGGTCAAGTGGTCCCTGCAACCCAGATCAGTCATCTGCTCAAGTCAAGAATAGGTCATTTGACCTTGATCTTTGGACTTGTTAATGATGGTTCTCAGGAAGAAGGAATATAGAACAGTTGGAAACATGGGTAGCTTGAGCTCTGAGGGGATATGTACACTTTAACTCCTGATTCACACTGACAAACCCACTGGACTTCCAGGTGGAGTTGGGAGAACATGAAGTCTGTCTCTCCAGAAGCTGTCTATCTGTCTACTTTGAAAACCTTTGTCTCTGTTATGATTACTCTACCCTCCATTTTCTCTGGTCAGAGCTGCAAAATGGAGGTCAGAGAGATGGTGTCCTTTACATGAGGTGCATTAGACCTGACTGTTCCTGATCTTATGGCTGTAGGAGTGCATTTGTAAAAAAGTTACACCATACCTCCACGCCTGCACAGCTTTTGGCAAGAAGGAGATTTGGGGGAAATGAAAGCATGCAAGAGTTAGGTTCTTTAGCAGTCAGTCAGAGATGAGCCACTGAAGGATGGGAAGTGTGAAATCTGTTGGCTTGTAAGTGTGGATGACTTTTGTTTATTGCTTTGTGGTTTCCTTTTTTTTTTTTCTCAAAATTTATTGAATGAATTAATGGGCAGGAATAAAAAAGAAAGAACGTGAACTTTTTGGAAGTACTGTGGTTTGAACTCAGGGTCTCGTGCTTGCTAGGCAAGCACTCTACCACTTGAGCCATGCCCCCAGCCCTTTTTTGCTTGAGTTCTTTTTCTTTTTTTTAAATTTATTTTTTCTTTTATTCATATGTGCCTACAATGTTTGGGTCATTTCTCCCCCTTGAGTTATTTTTCACATAGGTTATCATGCTTTTACCTGGGGCCAGCCTTGGACCTTTTTTTTTTTTTAAATAAATTTTTTATTAGGAAATATTCATTATACAGGGGGGATTTATAGTGACAATTCTGATTAGTGTGGCTTCCTTTCTTGAGATTCTGGGGTAGGTAGTAAGTTACAGAAGCACAGCTTAGTCTTGGTTATTGGGATCAATTAAAGACCCTAGCTGGGAGTTACCCAGGTTTCTTCTTCCCTTGACCAGATCTTCTTCCCAATAGTGTAAGATGAGGAAGGCTAGTCTTACTTGTGGAGAAAAGGGCTGTTCAGAGAGGCTGGACACTGAAGCCGTAAACTGAGGCTGGACAAGCTCAGGAGATTTCCTTATTCCACCTACCAACATATCCCACTGTCCTGGGCAGCAAGTGACAGATTTCTGTAACTTGTGTTTGTTTTCAGGTTCAGTAGCAAACCTCTGTCTTATCAGTGGCAAGTCTTCTAAGAGTCACACTGATTTATCATTTTGACAAATAAATGCTTTAAAATTGATGATCCTGTAACTTGAATATGTGCAGTTGCCTTAAGAAATTGACTTAGGGAAGTACGAGGATAGGTAGGACACCCAAAAAACTAGATAGCATTTGTTGCCCTCAATGCAGAGAAACTAATGCAGATACTTCAAAGTTACAAAGGCCAATAAGAGAAGGGGACCAGGAACTAGAGAAAAGGTTAGTTTGAGAAGAATTAATTTAGAAGGTAACACACATGTACAGGAAAGCAATGCAAGTCAACTCCCTGTATAGCTATCCTTATCTCAACTAGCAAAAACCCTTGGTCCTTCCTATTATTGCTTATACTCTCTCTTTGACAAAATTAGAAATAAGGGCAAAATAGTTTCTGCCTGGCAGCGAGGGGGTGGGGGGGAGAGGGAGGGGGTGAGGTAGGTAAGGGTGGGGGTGGGGGAAGGGGGGAGAAATGACCCAAACATTGTATGCACATATGAATAAAATAAAAAATCAAAAAGGGCAAATCCATAAAATAATTAAAATGCTAAAAAAAATTGACTAGGATCACAAAAAGGTTTTAGTTTTTTCTCTAAAATGAAATTGGCATAGAAATAAAGCAGATTGCTCAAGTTTTTGCCCCTTTCATGCTATGACCCTACCTGCTGCTCCAGAGACTTCTCCATCATCCACTATAGAGCTAACTTTCCTTCCTGAGCCCTAATTCCAAGCACCATGGTGAAGTCGCCTTTAAATTGTTCATCTCCCAGATGACAGGCCGAGACCTTCTCAAAGATCGAAGTCTGAAGCCTGTGAAGATTGCCGAGAGTGACACTGATGTAAGTGAGTGGTGATGGACTGACCCTCCGCTGCCTTCTAACCCAGACTCAGTGTGGGCAACTTCCAGCAGGGTTTGGGTGGTTCTGTAGCCAAAGACTTTCTGCTCACATCCCAAGGCCATGCCCTGTTCTCAGCCTCCCAGGCTCTTCCCATTCTGTTCTTGCTTACAGGTCAAACTGAGCATCTTCTGTGAACAAGACAGAATTCTCCAGGACTTGGAAGACAAGATCCGAGCCCTCAAGGAGAACAAAGTATGCATTGGTTTTGCATCATCATGGGATGGGGAGGGGTTTTGTTGCTCTGTCTTTCCTCAGACATTAACTGGACTCTCATATTAGTATTGAACAGCAGGTATTAGTTTATTTAAAGTAATTCTTTTGTTTAAGAGGTGCTTCTTTGGGGTTTCTTTTCATTCATTCATTCATTCATTGGTTGTTGGCAGTACTGGGGTTTGAACTCAGGGCCTGTTAGATAGGTGCTCTACCACTTGAGCCAGGCCTTTTTTGATTTAGTTAAATAGGGTCTTGAGTTTTTAACCAGGGCTGGCCTCAGACCAAAATCCTACTTATGGCCTCTCAGATAGTTGAGGTTACAGGTACACACCACCATGCCTAACTTCTTGGTTTAGATAGAGGTCTCATTAACTTTTCTGCCCAGGCTGTCCTTGAACCACAGTCCTCCTGATTTCTGCCTCCTAAGTAACTGGAATTTCAGGGATATACTACTATGCCTAGAATCTTCAGGCTCTATCTGAGCCTGAAGAAGACCTTACTGAAGACCCCAGCCTACTTGTTCTAAGTAACTTTTCCTCCCTTCTGCTCTGGCTCACATCTCCCTGGAAGTCTCGAGAGATGAGCCTGGAGGAGGTATTCTACTGATTTGTGTGTAATGATCTGGGAGCCTGAGCCCTGTGGCAGGGCTACCTTGTTGAAAGTGGCTATAGTCACAACAGGACAGAGGCCCTCACTTCCTAAACTCATTTCCTCCTAGGATCTGGGCTATGGAGGCAGCAAGTCTGGATGGGAGGTTGGAAAGGGCCTGGAGTCATCAGTGTTTTGGTCTCTTAAGACTCTTAAATGAATTTTTTTCTTTTTTGTGTATTAATAAGACATTAGTTATATTTGTGGTGCTGAAGGCTTATAACTCACCTTTTTTCCTAGACTTTTCCCAAGGTTTTCCATTAAGTCTTTCATTTGTCCTCATAGTCTGTCCCTTTAGGAGTTAGATGACTTTATGCCCATGTTGTAGATAGGAAACTGAGGTATAGCGCTCTTAATTTAAGGTTCTTGTCCCCATGGACAGAGTCGGAGCTGACATCCCTGTCCCTGCCTCTGAGCCCCAGCTCAGCTCTGGTCCCTTTGTCCTCCTTTAGTTCCAGCAACTTTGTCTGGTTCCTGGTGTGGTATGGGGAGACCTCTTGGGAGTGTCCTTCTATCCTGTTGCTCTTTGGCCCTTCCTGTGCAGGACCAGTTGGAATCTGTGCTGGAGGTGTTGCACAGGCAGATGGAGCAGTATCGAGATCAACCCCAGCATCTGGAGAAGATTGCCTACCAGCAGAGGCTGCTGCAGGAAGACCTGGTCCACATCCGAGCTGAACTCTTCAGAGAGTCCACTGTGCGTGAAGGGTGTGGAGGCAGCAGACACATCCCCCAGGATGAGCTGGCCCCGGGTTGCTGTGCCCATCTCCCAAGCTATAGTTGAGTTGATGGCTAGGGGCAAGAGTCTTGGAGTAACAGAACTTCTCCAGGCTGCCTCCCAACAGCAACTTATTCACAGGTGGCATGTCTGTCCCCACCTGAGCTGAGCCTTAAGCTGCTTTCCATCAGCAACTCCCAGATGGCTGAGGATGCCCACAAAACCAGATTTCTCAGAGCAGCCTGCAGTCCATATTTTGACCTGTGTGCCATTAATTCTAAGATGTTAGGATTTCTACTTTGTCATTTGTCAGTCTGATGGGGTACAGGCCTTTCTGCCAGAGCATGGAATTAAAGACTTCTTGGGTGGAAGAGGAGACAGTGCAGGTGGCCAGGTTCACATACTACTTTCCCTCTTGCGTCTGTTCCTGTTAGGTCTGCCTGCTTCCCTTTTACCCTGGCTTCATCAGCAGAGGTCAGGAACACAGGTTCTCTCAAGGTTGCTGGGGAAGGGCAGGAGAGAGGGACAGCCAGAGACCAGAAGCATTTCTTTGGCCAACAGGAGATGGAAAACGCCTGGAATGAGTACCTGAAGTTGGAGAGGGATGTGGAGCAGCTGAAGCAGACCCTGCAGGAGCAACACAGAAGAGCCTTTTTTTTCCAGGTGATCAAGGGCTATTTATCCTTCTGAGCTCTGGTTGCTTCTGAGAACACTACTGCAAGCACTACTCCAGGGTCTTTTCTTCCCCATCTCTGTAAAGTAGTCATTCCAAGTTCTCCATTGGAGGGCCCCTTCCTCGGCCAGGCTGTAATAAGAAGCCTCACCCCAGTTCCCCTGCCTCTTTGCTGTCAAATTGACAAGCTCTTGGTGCTTTTGGAGAGGAGACCAAAAACAACCTTGAACACCTTATGCAGATATGAGAGTGATGTTTCCTTCTTGGGTTCCTTAGACACAAACCAGCAAGCAGTCCTGCCTCCTTCCTGCCTGATTCCTGAAGATAGATGTTATCACCCTGCTGTCTGAGGAGGGTGTGAATTCAGTCCATTGAAGTGTCCCTAGGTGTCATTTTTATTTCTGGAGAATAGGCTGGGCGATACACATCTCTGTGTCCCTTGGCCCACTTGGGGAAGGTAGCATTAAAGCCCCGCCTCCTTGCTTTAAAAACCAGGCCACCCATGGATAGCAGCTTCTGTTCCCCAAAGGTGACATAGTGACTTGCCCTGTGTAATTTCTCTTCTTCCAGGTTGGGTTCCCCAGCCACCCCACGTTCTCCCCTAAATTTTCAAAATAGAAAGTGACCTGCTTTCCAGCTAGGCTTTAGATCTGTATCTCCTTCTTTCGGGGCCCTGACATAAATTCAGTTTGTTTGAATTCAACAAGCATTCCTGGAGGCTTCTTATATATGAGGCACCACAGAGAAGAGTTTGCTGCTGTGCTTACTAATTGATGACCTAGTTCTAGCCCAGACTAGGTGATTTAATGAATATATAGACTCTGGATGTTGGCCTAACCCTACAAAAGCGAAGGAAATTCTGGAAGGAGTTTAGGTTTGTGAGTCCTGAGGCTTTTCCTGGGACCTACTGTCCTCCAATCATTAAATGGTTCCTGACAAGCCAAACCCAGGTCCATGTAGAAAAGAGTCTTTCCTCAGCTCAGGGCTGGCCTGTGAGATTCCCCCTGTCTCTTCCTGGCCTGTGAGTTTCCCTGTCTCTGGCTGTTATTTTTCTCCTCATAATTTCCCTTCATCCAAGCTAATGTTTTTTGTATTCCCTTTTGTATCCCCAGCATTTAGCATAGCTTGAAATACTAGGTGAGGGCTGGTAGAGTAGCACAAGTGGTAAGCACTCACCTAGCAAGTGTAATGCCCTGAGTTCAATCCCCAGCGCCAAAAACCAAAAAACTACATGAATATCACTGGCAAAGTCTTTCCAACAATTGTTTCTGGTTACTAGGTCCTAAAACTATCCTTTCTTTTTATACCTCGTAGGTTTCAATGATCCACATTTATTTTAGCATTAATACTTTTAGCTTCTCATTTTTTATTTTTCGTTAATTATACAAGTGACACATGAATACATGGCCTCTGAAAAGACTAACAAAACATGAGAAGCAAAGTCACAAAATGATACACAAACTTTTCCCTCCTCTGCCCCACTGTTATCACCTTCCCTGCATGTACTCAGTGCTGTCAGTTTTCTGTGTTGCCTTCCTGACCATTTTCTGTGCATTTCCAGACATCTACCTGCATAGAATCAGATCACTTATATGGGATTGAGGACAGGTGAAATGTTTACTTAAAGAAGATCACACACATTATTTGGCAACTTGCTTTCTGTTGTAAAAAATCTTTCCATGAATGATACCACCAAGTTTATGACATCCAATCCAATCGCTATTTAATTACAAATATAAATCAGTTACAGCTAACTAAAATTAAAAAATGAATTCCCTGTTCACACCAGACTCATCTCAAGTGATCACTAGCCACATGTGGCAGTGGTTACTCTAGTGGACAGCACAAATTACAGATTTCCACAGTCCAAGAACTAATCACTAGCCACATGTGGCAGTGGTTACTCTAGTGGACAGCACAAATTACAGATTTCCACAGTCCAAGAACTAGTATTGGACAGTGCCCATCTAAGTAAATTAAATTAGTTCTTCTTGATTGCGCCATACTGTCTCATAGTATGGATAGTCCCTGTTGTAATTAGGCATTCTTCTTTGAGTGGTCATTGAAGTTGTTTCCAGTGTTTTCCTTTTATACACAGTACAGTTGTGAGTATCCATGTAATTGCCTTTTCAAGCTCATCTACAACATTTATCTAAGATAAGGTTTTAGGAGCAGACTTGCTGGGTTTGAAATGAGTGTACATCTTAGAGTTGATAAATATCACACCAAGATGATTGCAGATAATGAGAATCAAAAAGCTTGAAGAAATCATTTTGAGTTTTTCAGCATTAAGAAATAATAAATGATACCAGGCATGGAGGATTGTAAGTTCAAGGCTAGCCTGGGCTATATAAAAATACAAAATACAGAAAGAGAAGAGAAGGGAGGAAAGTTTGAGAAGATAGATATGCTTACCTGATTTAAACATTATCCAATGTACACATGTATTAAAGCATCACATTATACCTTATAAATTTGTGCAATTTTTATATTTCTGTGTATCAGTTTAAAATGTTTTTAATACAAAAAAGTTGACAAGTATTGCATAGTCACTCTAAAAGGCTGCACTGATTTACCCTCACTCAGTAAATGAGAGCAGCTAGACCTGTCTGCCTACATCCTTGCCAGCACTTGGTGTTATCAGTCTTTTTAGTTTTTGCCAGTCTTCTGTTTTAATGTACATTTATTTAATTACTGGGAGGCTAAATATCTTTTCATGATTATTGATCATTTGTGCTAGTACTGTGTTTTATTTCATAGTGATTTAATATTTAGCAGGCCCAGAATCTCCCCCATACACACACTTAAACTGAAATTGGTGCAATGTACTGGTTCTTGTTGCAGACTCCCTGGAGAATTGGCCTCTATAAGTTTCTAACAGATTGGCCAGCCTGAAGCCTGGCACTGCAGCTTGGTTTCCACCTAGCTCTGTGGTATTGCTTACACTTTCCCTAGTTGCCTTGATGACCTGGGAAGCCCTAAAGCCCTACTTTGACCAGGCTCTCCTAGCTGCTTTGGGGTAATCCTAGACCGGGCTGTTAGAATCCTAGACAAATCATTAACATTGGAGGCGAGCTTGCAGCCCCTATGCAAATTATCAGTTGCAGAGCTTGGAAACTCAGCCTCCTTTAGCCAGGCTTGGCTATGAGAAAATCCATAGCCTTTTCAGGAAAGTAGGGTGACTTTATTTACGATGATCACCATAGCCACATGAGTGTCAGGAAGCCAGGGAACGGACCATCCAGGGAACAGGGTGAATAGCAATGATAGGTGAGACTACCTGTAAGTGTGCCCGTCCTGACTTCTGAACAGTGAGTTCAAACCTCTGCTGAAAGCAGTACATGGGAGCCTTCTTGTCCAGTGTAGAGGAGGACATAGGAGTGAAATTCCTGCCTCACTCCTCAGAAGCTTCCTTCACCACATCATTAAGTTGTGAAATTCCATCACTGGGACTCTCTGGCCTTTGCTCCTCTCTGCACTTCTCTTACTTTTGGTATTTACCACAGTCTATTTTTAAATTAGGTAGAAGTAGACCAGCTGAACTGGTGAAAGCTGCTCCAGATTCTTCTCTGGACCTTGGGCATTTTCCATATGTGTACTTACCTAGGAGTTGTTTCCAAAGGGGTGTTTACCCCAGGGCCAGCAGCTCTCTCTGAAGTGGCAGGACAAATCCTAGGAAGAAAATTCTACTGAGGAGTTAAGGAGGTGCTGAGCCATCCTCCCCTGTCTTCCCCAGGAGAAATCACAGATACAAAAGGATCTGTGGAGGATTGAAGATGTCCTTGCAGGCCTGAGTGCAAACAAAGAGAACTACAAAGTCCTTGTGGAATCGGTCAAAAACCCGGGTGAGGGAGCCATCTTCCTGAAGGTGGGGTTTGGTGGGATGACCCTTGGGAGGTCTGGTCTTCATGGTCATAGGTCATCCCACTTGTCCTCCAAAGGAAGAGGGTCTTTACTAATGCTGCACTTGTTTCCTTCCATGCCCTTCAGAGAGAAAAACGGTGCCTTTGTTCCCTCACCCGCCTGTGCCTTCACTCTCGACTTCTGAGAGCAAGCCTCCCCCACAGCCCAGTCCTCCCACCAGCCCAGTGCGGACCCCTCTGGAGGTTCGGCTCTTCCCACAGCTGCAGACCTATGTGCCGTACAGACCTCACCCACCCCAGCTGAGGAAAGTGATGTCCCCTCTTCAGTCACCAACTAAGGCAAAGCCCCAAGTGGTAAGTTATGGTGACTAGATGCTGAGTGCCTTTGTTTCCTCTCTGGCTGATGATTGGCCCCCCTCTGTCCTGAGATCACCCCGTCTTGGGGTAAACTTGGGAAAACTTTGGGAAGTTGGGAATCTGAAGTCCTGAGTCCTGAGCAGTTAAGTCTTGTATTTACCATGCCATGTGCCTTGGCCTCTCTAGACAGGTAGAACCATGAGAGATGGTCTTGTATCACCCTCCCATTTTGCAGTTAGAAAAAATTGAGGCCCAGCAAGGAGGAAATGACTGTGCTGAATAGGGTGGAACTGATGATCTGCACTGTGCAGAGAGGTGTCTGTCTATTGGTGAGGGTGTCCCCATGCAGGGCTCCAGGCAGATCTGCAGAGGGCTTATCAGCTATTACATGGCCTGATTAAAACACAGGAGTCCCCTGGCACTCACCATCTACCTGCTTCCAGCCGTGGCCAAGGGCCCAGTGTTGGAACCAGGTATAGCCTGTAACCTACCAGAAAATCTCTTAAATTTCTTCTTGGGATCTCCTTTGTAATCCCAGATAAAAGGGGCAGACTGGAACACCAGCCATAAAACACCAAACAAACAGCAGAAATATCTTGAGTGGATACCTTCTCGTGTAAGGCAAGGGGCCCATGAGCTGGGGTGAGGACCAGAGGGAAAAAGTACTAGCATGAGACCCCTGGATTTTAGCCCTTGTTCCTTCATTGTATTCTTGAGCAAGCCCATTCTTTTCCTGAGCCTCATCAGTTTCCCTAGAGTAGATGATCAGAGAGGCTCCTCTTCCCAGCTTGGTCATTTGTGGCTCTCAGGCAGGGCTTTTTCAGGTTAGCTGAGTATCATGGTCCACAGGGGATCTTCTCTCCTTTCCTCTCCTCTCCTTGTAATATGTGTGTGTTTACCAGTTTTGCCAGTTTGTGTTGTTGGTTGCTTGTTTTAGTATTTGTTCTCATGAAGCAGTAATATCCTAAAAATGACATAAAATAGGATTATATAACTTAATCAGTAATGATAAAGGGACCACTCATAATGTAATATACCAAACCCAGACTAACAAGTAGAAACTTGCCAGCAATGAGATATCCTCTGGGCTAGGTCTCCCTTCCCAGTCTAGCCCCACCCTCTGCCTTTCTGCCAGAAGTAACCATGATCTTGAGTTTTTGTATTATAATTGCCTTGCTTTTTTCTTGTCATTTGGCTACCTGTTTTGCATCCCTAAACACTTTAATTTTGCAGCTATATAACACTGAGCTCTTTTGTATCTTTCATCTTTTCTTCAGCATTGTATTTGTGGGATTTATCCACATTGTTACAAGTAGTGATGGGTCTTTCATTTTTATTTGGCTTGTTTTCCTAAATTTAATTTCATTTTTTATTAGATAGTAATCTCAAGAAAAACAAAAGATTTTTTAAAAAAATAATATAATAAAATCTCTCCCACCCTCTATCTCTAAACACTCTGTTCTCTCCAGTCATAGCCAGTCAGTGGTTATGTTTCTCTTTCTGGGAAACTTTATAGAAATTGGTGGTTCCTGTATCTTATCAGGTTTGGAAACTGCTGATCCTTGGTATCTTAGGCAGATGGCTTGCCTTGGACACATCAATGAAGTGCATTGCTCTTAAAAAAAAATCTGATAAACCTTTGCAGAACAAACTTGAACTGAGCGCTTTTCTGAACTCTGCAGATTTTTGAAGAAAAAAAAAAAAAGCCAAACCAGACTAGGAAACTCAGAGTTTAGGAGGACAGAGGAACCATGGTCATTAGTGGGTGTTCATGGCAGTCAGGCCCAGACTGCTGATTAGAAAAGAACCACTGCCATCAGAGGGCCCAGGAAGAGAGTTACATTCATTATATCTCAGGAGGGGATCACTCGCCTGACTGCCTACTCTGTCCAGTCAGGAAGGAGGACATAGTTTGTAACCATGCACATTTCTAAGAGAAAGGACAGGCAGATATCCTTGTTCTGGGATCCTTGCTCTGCTGAAGGATCCAGAGTCTGCAGGGCCAGTGAGTCAGCTCAGACTGAGTGCTATGTGGTGGGGTGGGTGTCTGTTCTCCAGGGTAGGTACTGACATCAATTCAGAAGTGACACAGAGTTAGCAGCCTACCTCCCCTGTGGTGCATGCCAAGGAAGGGGATTGGCGATGTGGCATTGTGCCAAGAGTATGGACTGAGGAGTCTGGTTCTGGAGTTGGGGACATGAAATATACAGGCAATACTTTGAAAAATAGAAACATGTGAGTCGAAGGGAAGAACAGAGTTGGAGCTTTGTAGCTTCACAGCTTCTTCAGAGGTAATACTCACACTCCTGGCTGATCTGGTCACATTCTTTGTCTCTGAAGTGGTTTGTTCTTGCTCTGTAGGCATGACAGTGCCACTCAGCAGTCTTCCCTCCAGCTCCATCCCATTGGGCAATGGTTCTGGTTCTCTTTCTGAGCAGGAAGACGAGGCACCTCCCAGGCCCCCACTCCCTGAACTCTACAGTCCAGAGGACCAGCCGCCTGCCGTGCCACCTCTGCCAAGGGAGGCCACCATCATCCGGCATACATCTGTGCGGGGCCTCAAGCGGCAATCAGATGAGAGGAAGCGAGACCGGGAGCTGGGGCAGTGTGTGAATGGAGACTCAAGGGTGAGTTGGGAGGACCCCTGAGTTGCCCACTGAGTATGGGGAGGAGGAATGTTGGGTGATGCTGAGTGGGTGTGACAGTCTCAGACTCTGCCCACAGGTGGAGCTCCGGTCATATGTTAGTGAGCCTGAGCTGGCCACCCTCAGTGGGGACATGGTTCAGCCCTCCTTGGGACTCGTGGACCCTGAGAGCAGATACCAGACACTGCCAGGCAGAGGTAAGGCAAGACCCTCCAAGGAGTGTTTCAGGAAGCCCACCACTCCACTATACTGTTCTCAACTGCAGCCTATACCTTGCACCTCTGCTTGTAGCTCTGGCCTAGACATGGGCTGTGAGAGAGAGGACCTGTCCTGCCTTTCTCCCTCTGACCTGCTTCCTGATGCTCTTCCTCTTTTACTACATCTCTCCCCAGGAGCAATTCTAACAGCAATTACCATAAAGCCTGACTCTGTTTAAACACTTGATATACCTCATCTTCAACAATGTTGTGAAGGAAGTGCTATTAGTATTCCTACTTTGGAAATCAGGAAACTAAGAGCACCAGTTAGCTATCTGTAAGGGAGTGAGGAGAAAATCCCAGGGCTCTGACTCTGGACTGCTGTAGGAAGAAGGCTGGGGTGCTGGTGACTGCTATCAGCAAGACCATCTCTGGTCATCCAGATGGTTTTTTTCCTCTGGAATCACCCCATGACCCCAATGAATCCTTTCTTAAACACAGGTTCTCCTCAGTTAAGCACCTTTTTGCTGCCCTCCCTTATCTCAAGCTCAGGATATGCCTGGAAGCAGAGGGATAAAGGGCACTCGTACTCCTACAACCTCTCTACTTGTTCAGCCCAGGGCTTCTGCATAGAAAGGAAGCCTAGGGTAGTTCACAGATCTTCAGGGAGACTGTCCCTTACTGGGGAAGGAGGGTACCTCTAGGCTCACCCCTCATCCTCTACCTAGGGTCTTTCTCTTTTAGGTCCTGAGGAGAAAGAAGAGAGAGTCAAGTGGGTTGTTGGCTGGGCTCTCTTGGACCCTCACGGAAGTGGGGATCATTAGGAATGGGCTAAGGTCTGTCTATCGCACTAATACCCTTGACAACTCTTTCTTTCCTAAGGGCTCTCGGGGTCCACATCAAGACTCCAGCAGTCATCCACCATTGCTCCCTATGTCACACTCCGGAGGGGTCTAGATGCTGAAAACGGCAAGGTGACTTTCCCTGTAAGGGGCCTAGAGATCCTGTGAACCCTAAGAATGGCTTCTGAAGTGTCCTCAGCCCTTCAGGAGCTCAGGGTCCCTGTCACTCTTGGCCTACAAGCAAGGCCATTATCTTGACCTGTTTATTTTTCAAGGACCCCACACTTATCTCTAGCCTCTTGGGGTTGGAGGGAGGTCAAGAAGTCTATACCCTGGGTTCACCCTAGTCTGCTGCACATGTGCCCAGCTGAACAAGCCTGGGCCTCAGTGATGATATCTGCAGAATGGGGTGCTACCTAGAAAGCTTATGAGGGCCAGGAACATCGTGGTGCTTAGAGGAAGTGGTTATGTATGGCCAAGAGGAGCCCTACTAGCGTGTGTGTGATGGAGTGAGAAAGACCAAGAATGGGGATGAAGCCAGCAGGGTGGCTGCCCTCTGTGTTTGCAGCTCAGTGGCTCTGTGTCTTCTGCCTTCTTCTTAGAGACCCAAGAGTGCCTTGGAGCGCCTGTACTCAGGGGAACACCAGCGGGGCAAAATGAGTGCAGAGGAACAGCTTGAACGCATGAAGCGGCACCAGAAGGCCTTGGTCCGGGAGCGCAAGAAGACGCTGAGTCAAGGAGAGAGGACAGGCCTGCCCTCGTCCCGCTACATCAGCCAGTCTGGAGATCTTGGCTCAGTATGTTAGGCAGGCGGGGCTGGGAGCATCGTTTCCCTCAAGCTGAGCAGAGCTTCCCTAAGTCTCCCAAATACAGGCACTTCGCACCCCCGAGTGAGTGGGCTGTTCGTTGACCTGGGTGTTTGAGAGAACATCCCATGGGCTGTTTGTCCACAATCCAGGCTGCATGTGTGAGCTGGTCAGAGGGTGACCCAGAACCAGAGAAGAAGGGAGGATCTCACAGCAGAGGCCTAGGATATGAGAAAATATCCAGCCAGTTCTTCAAGCCAAGCATGAGCGGGGCCTCTGCAGATGTTCAGAATCTCTCAGCTGAATTAAGATTTGGGAATATAAGGTACAAGAAGTAGAGGCAGAAAATGGTGATAGGGTTTGAGGAGAAGTGCAAATCAACCAGTCAGCCTTCCAAACTTCTAAGCAACTGAGGAGGAGGCAACTGAGCAAGAGTTGGTGCCCTTCTACTCTGAAGGATGGTGGGCTTCCACAACCTATGGTGCTGAGGCCTCAGGTGCCCCGGAGCGCTGGGGACTCGGTGCTTCCCCCTGGTGGTACTCCCTGGAGCTGCACCTGCCCACCATAGCCTTATATCCCTTTTGGAAACATTCCATTTGACTTTTGGGTTTGGCACCCTGTGTTACCCTAGCCCTCTAGCCTGACTGTTCTTTCCCTAATTCGTTGCACAAGCTCCTTCGCTTTTAGTGATGCCGCTCATTGCCTCTCTAATCCTGCCTGATTGTGTTTACAGACTCTTCTGATTTGCATTGAACATTGTCTAACTGGCCTGTGCTGTTTGTTACCAGGCTTGTAATGGCAGCTCTTGTCTCCCTAGCCTAGCAGGCACCCCCCAGATGTGACTCAGCTTTCCCCCCCGCCCTCCTTTGTGCAGGCCTACTAATGCATAATTCACTCATCCCAAAAGCTGCACTGCAGCCTAAGCCAACCCACTGCCTGAGAACCACAGTCACTGGCAGAGGTCTAAGCATTGTGAATTTATTAAAATTCATGCCTTATACTCAGTAAACATGAACTTCAGAGAGTACACGTTTGAATAAGTTCTACAAAGTCTGAGGTTGTTTGGTTTTAATTCTTCCCGTCCATCACACAGTTTCTTACGGAAAACCTTTTGTGTTTCTGATACTTAGTAACTTGAATGGATAGCAAAATAAACTGTGTATTCAGAAGACCTCTGCAGCTGTTAGCTCAGACACCAAAGGGTAGAACCCTGGACAGTCGTACCTTTCAAATCTGCAAACCTGGTAACTTTTAAACATGATAAGCAAATGTCATAATGTGATAACACTGACCTTTTTTCAACGTGGGGTCTCAAATGTAGAGGTTATCTAAAAACTGCAACTTGAATACCTTGTAATTTTTCTCTGAAAAAAAGGACGTGTAAGTCTCTGCATCAACGCCAATAAATGTGCTGCTTAATAATGATGGATTGGCGTGGTTCTTCCCCAGGGCACTTCATAGAGTCCAGTGAACTTTTCTTGTGTGTGGAAACAATCAGGCTGGGTTTAAATGAGGACTTGTCTCTATTTGGAGTACTTGTGAGCGTGTAAGAAAATGTGCGTTTTGTGACTCATTAAATTAATTCATTCTTGAACTTCAACTGCCTGATCTTTTTAAACTAATTAGACAACCATCACTCAAGATTGATTACATTGGTTTGGAGTCAGTATTGAGAGCTTGTGCATGAATGGGTGAAATGTGCTGATGAGGCTATGGGTTTGGGGTTTTGGAGGGACTCAAAGAGGTAATAGGATAAGTCATGACCACTGGGCTTTATGAGGTGGTTGGAGTAGGAGTGGAGGGAAATGGTCTGGGATGAGTAAGCATCTGCTTTTCCTGCTCAGCCGTAAGCCTGTTCTATTCTTAACAACTAGCTTTGTGGTCAAAGGCCTGTGAGTGAACAGAAGTCACCTGAGAGTTGTACAGTCATACTTGGATCTTAAAATGGTTGGTTTAGATTTTCCCCTCTTGTGAGAAACGCTTGTTCCAAAGTTGATACTGTTAAGCAGCCTTAGAACTACTGCATTTGATTTAGCATTTTAATTTTACATGATTTGGTTTTTCTTCTAGTTTAAAGAAAACATCTGCCCCAAATAGATACTGTCTTATACAGTAGTTTATCTTCATCACTAGTTCTAGCTTGACCCTGCTTGAACCTCCCCAGTCCTGCTGTCATAGTTTCACCCACCCTAGATCCTGTTGTACCTGATAGAGAGGCTCTTAATTATATTTACTTGGAAGGGCTATAAAGGAGGTTTTTTTTTTCTTCCCATTATTTCTGAACCCAAGGCATATGAATCCTGAGTGAGAAAGCCTTCTATGAGCTGTGGGGCAAAGGAAAAGGCTAATCCATTCTCTGGAGCTCTGTCCCAGATTCTGTTTTGGGCTTACCTTCTCAGACCTGGGAGCATCCTGGATCCCTGTGGACCACTGTGAGCCTGAAGTCATGGGTCTTAGACCTGTGCCCTAAGGGTACACCTTTGAACTCTCTTAGGACCCACATCAGAGAACAACCAGAAGTCTAGAACAGGCCATGTGAAGGAGACAGAGGCCTTGGTCTCTGTTATACATAGCTTTTCCAAAGCAGGTCATAGATCCATCTTCCAAAGGGCTCCATGCCTACAAGGCCCACCCAGAAGGGGACAAATGTGATACTCTGCAGTCAGGAAGTGACTGCAATTAACCCTCTTGTTCTGTTGCCAGTGGAAGCGAGAGCAGGACTTTGACCTGCAGTTGCTGGAACGGGCCATGCAAGGGGAGAGGAAGGACAAGGAGGAGAATGGCTGGTTGAAAGTGCAGGCCATGCCTGTCACAGAGTTGGACCTGGAACCTCAAGACTATGACTTGGACATCAGCAGAGAGGTGAGGGCAGGGGCTACCTTCATGTCCCTTAGAAGGTGTGGCATTTCAGGCTCCAGGCTGATCAGCAGTCCCATGAGAATTTTGTCCTGAATAGGAACAAGGCTCAGCTTCACCATGACCCAAGAGAATGGTTGCATTGATGGCCTTGCGAGGCAATAAAAGGAGCCCAGGTGTTTTGGTTAACATTCAAATTTATCTCTGAAACTGGAACAAATTGCAACTTCTCGGTGCCTCAGTTTCCTCCAGAGTGAAGTGAGTGTAGTGAGGATTAAGTGACTCAACACACTCCCAGGAGGTTTAGCAGGAATCTGAAAGCCTGGCATGGAGTAGGCATGTGGCTGCAGTAATTATCGTTAGGAAATATTCCCTGGAACACCAGGATCTTACCTCACAACAGGTCAGGCAGGCTGACTTGGGTTATGAGCAGGTTTGAAAAATCACAGGTTAAATTTCCAGCCATCACAGGAGAGCACAGTTCTGGTTTGAATTCTTCTGCTGCCCTCTGGTGGCTTGCATGCATCATGACAGGACAGGCCCAGGAAAGCAAGTGAAGGTCTCTGTACCCAAGGGAAGAGAAAGGAAATTCAAGGGATGGCAGATTTAGGATCTTTAGACACTCATGGTCTCCTGTGGCCTGCATTGTGCCATTTGTATTCTCTGCATGGCAGTGTATTACACCTGCTTGGCTCATATCTGTATCCCTAGCATGGGGCTGCCACATAGTAGGTGCTCTGTAAGTATTTGCTGGAAGAAGTCCATAAATGCCCAGAAAAAATTTGTACAAGGACTTGGCCTTCCCTGAAACTGCATGAGAGGGAATGTTCTCATCACGTGAAGGATGGATTTCTGTGATTCCTTAATACAGCTTCCCCATGGATCTGTCTGATAGGAGATAGGTACTTTGAGGGCCAAAGAAGAGCTATGCTTCTCAGTGCCTTCCTCCTGGGTTTGTTTTTTTTTTTTTCCTTCTTTTTTTCGGTGCTGGGGACCGAACTCAGGACCTTGCACTTGCCAGGCAAGCGCTCTTCAACTGAGCTAAATCCCCAGCCCTTCCTCCTGGGTTTTTCATTTTGTTTTCTTTTTTGGTTTGGTTGGTTTTGGGTTTTGGTTTTTTTTTTGGTTGGTTGGTTGGTTTTGTAGTGCAGGGGATTGAACCCCGGGTCTCACACTTGTTAGACAAGTGCTTTATCACTGAACTATGTCTCCATCCCTTTTCCTCCTGTCTTTAAGGAACCGGGGCAGGAGCACTTACTAATTGATTTTGCCAGCCATGTCTGCCTGTCTTGGTAGGTTAGGAGCCCATGGGAGTCTTTGAAAACAGAAGGACACTGTGCAGGCAAATAGATACCTATGGAGTTGCTGGGTTCTCAGGTCGATTTGGGCTCCAGTGGATAAAGAAGCCAGGCAGAAAAGGTCTGCCCCCAGACCTTTTCTCTGGCACCAGGAACAGTCAAAGGTCTCAGCTTTCTCACTCACAAAGAATTTCCACATACTGCCTTGGCAGTGCAAGTGTGGCCCATAGTGTCCTTGCTGGCCCGCCTGTCCAGAGAAAATTGTCCTTCCTTATCTCTAACCTAAATCCTTCCTGCTACAATGTAATCTGCTTCCTTCCTCTAGATCTGTCCTCATTGGGAATAACAGAGAAGAGTTTATTTCTTGCCATCTTTCAGTAAAATGCAATGGCTGCATGGGTTTAAATCTGATGACTGAGAATACAATCAGCCTAGTCAAGAACAAAGAAAACTACTTTGGGGCTAATTAGGGTTGTAGTTTGGGGAAACAGTTCAAGGAGTCCTGAAAGTGTTTTACAAAATGGCACCTGTACTTACAGCCTTAGAACACAAGGGAATTGGTCAGGAATTACGCTTGATGCTAGCAAAAATAAAGGTGTATTATAAGAAGTGGATGGGGTGAGGTCTGAAGTACAGAAGGTCATCAGGGGTTAACAGTGTTTCAAGAGCCAGCTTACGTTCCAGTGGGGATGTCTGCAGTCCAGCTCAAAACATCAGTTGCAAATGTGCCTGAGGTCTGATTAACGATGACCTCCTGGCTCGATTTTACATGCCTCAAAACAGTTCTACTCCATTTTTTTCCCCTTGACGAATCTATGACCATATTAATACTGCCCCAGAATTAGATTTAGTTTGCTTTGTTGTTGTTGCTGCTGTTTGGTGGTCCTGGGGTTCGAACTCAGGGCCTCACACTTGTTAGGCAGGTGCTGTACCACTTGTGTCATTCCACTAGTGGGTTTAGCTTATTTTTAGGATCTCCAGCTAACCCCATTTTAATGTGAGTGTGCAAGAGTTGCCTTTAGTGTTTTCATCCCTGAGCAAGATTTCACCAAGCTGTTTGCTACTGGTAGATACTGGAGGTGGGTGGAGTTCAGGGCCACTTTTCCTGGAAAATAGCAGATACAGTATAGCTGTCCCCTATCTAGATCAGAAGAGCTTTTGTAGGGCAGATAGCACTATCACTTCCTTTCATCCTTTTATCTGTTTATCCATTATCCATCCATCAAGGAGGATTTGCTGAAGGGCTACTAAGTGCCAGGTCCCTGCATTAGATGGTGGGAGGTAGCAAACAGAAAATGAGAGGTGTGGGAAGGAGAATCAGGGAGGCTTTTTGGGATGAGGTTGCAAGGATAAGAGTCATTAAAACAAAAGAAGAGTGTGCCAGGCCAGGGAAGAGTAGGGAGAAAGGCCTGTGGTGGAAGAGGCACTAGAGGAACTGGTGAACTGATGAAGCTGAGGACATGGGGTTAGATCACTAGGCCTGGAAGGTTGCACTATGGATTATTATTTTTGTCCTGAGAGCTTCAGTGCAGTTGTTTGCCTTGTCCTTCTCTTCCCTTCCCTTCTCTTGGACTACAGGAGGTTGTCTGTTGCAGCTGGAAGAACATGGGCTGTGGTGTCAGACCCAAGTTCAAACCCCAAATCTACAATAAACTACATCAACTAATTTTTTGATCTTAGCAAGTTACTTCACCTCTGTGGACTCTGTTTACTTCCTCATGGTGAGATAGGCAGGCAGGTCCCAAACCAGAACATCTGAGTCTTCCCTTCCACCTCACCTCCTGGGCTTCTCCCCAGCTGTCCAAACCAGAAAAGGTCTCCATCCCTGAGCGGTATGTGGAGCTGGATCCCGAAGAGCCACCCACCCTTGAGGAGCTGCAGGCGAGGTATCGAAAAGCTGAGAAGATCCGAAACATCCTCACCCGGTCAAGGTCAGCCCTTGCTTGCTCAAGTCTGGATAGCCCACTAGCCCTAGTATGTCAGCCATGAGGGCACATGGGGCAGACTGGCTGGGTACATGTATTGCCAAACTTTATCTCAGATGAGCTCCAGTCATTGGCGAGGGTAGGCAGATACTCAGATCAGCAAAAAAGCTTGCCTAGGTCACCTGGAAAGTCATGAAATACTCAAGAGAGGGCCCCTGTCCTGAGCCCTCACCCCTGGATCTGTCCCAGGGACTCTAGAAAAGTGTGAGAAGTAGAGCTAGGCATGGCAGTGCTTGCTGGACCTAGGTAGAGATCAGCTCCAATGATGTTCCTCCCAGCATGTGGTCCCGTGCTCCCTCACAGAGACCCATAGATCAGAGCTAGTGGCCCCAATCTTGCCCTGAAGGTGCCATAGGCTTTGCCCACTTCCTTGGACACTGACCTGGGACCCTAAGAAGTAGCTTTTCTGTCCCATGAGCCTCCCCTTGAGAGCTAGGTCAGCTACTTAGTGTCTGAATTTATCAGGAACCTCCAGCTGCAGGCCTCCTTAACACAAGGTCTGTGGTTCTCTAAAAATAGCAACAAAGCTGTGATTGTTAGGGTGTTTGGGGAGACGCATGCACTCCTTTATCTCAGAAGAAAGTCCACAATTTGTGTCTAATGCTCCCCTCCCAAAACAAAAATTTTGAGACCCTCCAGGCTCCTGAGATTTATGCCCAGGGTAACGAGGGCCCATAACCTGCTCTCTGGCCCCTGCAGCATGTGCAACCTGCAGCCAACATCAGGACAAGACCGTAACAGCCTGGCTGATATGGACTCGCAGCTACAGGAGCAGGAACGCATCATCAACATCTCCTACGCCCTGGCCTCTGAGGCCTCCCAGCGCAGCAAGCAGGTGGCAGGTAAGGCTATGGGCGTCAGCCTTCTAGGTCTAGTTCCTGCCCTCTGCTCCTTGGGGCTTAACTCAGCATGGCCTATCCCAGAGCTGGGGAGTCAGTGGAAGTTTGCAATTGAGGGCCACTGGTGTGTTCTCTCACCTACAGGGGTCTTATCCCAGGAGAGAGAGGTGCTGCTATTCAACTTCAGGTTTTTCAGGCTCCTGAGTCAAGGGGCCAGAGCTAAAGTTCCTTTCCTTATAACAAAACCAAAGCCACTTTTTACCATGTCAGAGGGTCCTGTGCCAGAAAACAGGGTCCAGGAAGTGAGGCTTTGCTTGGCCAATTGGAAAGAGTATCACCATGGGGGAGGAGCATACGCTTGTTAAAAGGCTGCTTTCTCTCAGCAAGAAGGACTCTAGGCTCCTCCCTCCACCCACCCCTCCCTCTGTGGGGAGGGGTGCCCTCATAGTCCACCTACTGCTGTTTTTCCCCCCAGTGCAGAGGTCACTGTGTGTCTAGGTGGTGTCCCTGGTCAGTTGTGCTCCTTCTGGGATGGAGATAGTCATGGAGCATGAAGTGATATCAGTCTCTGAGAGTCCTCCATTCCTGGCCACAGAGTCTAAAAGTGGCCAAAGGTGGGGCCTGTAGGTCTCTGTTATGGGGAGTTGGTTATGGGGAGTGTGGTGTGGGGAACAGAGCCTTGCATTGCTCTGGAGGCCATGGGAGGGACCAATGACAGAAGAGGGGCCAAAGTCTCAGCAGAGGCCTCTTCTCTGTCCCCATACCCTGATCCTGCAGAGTCCCTGAAATCCCTGCTGCCTTCACTCCCTTTGAGGGTGTACTGAGTGGGTGAGAGGTGATCAGTGTGGTGTTCTGTGGCTAGGGACACAGAAGGTGGCCCTCCAGACCCTTCTTCCTAATGACCCTGGAGCTCATCCCAGCACCCTTTGAACTCCTCCCTATATGACACCTGACCTCCACAGTGCCCTCCTTTTTGCTGTGCTTGCTCTAACTCTTGGATTTGTTCCCTTCTGCATCCTTGCCACAGTGGACAAGCACTCCAACCCTAACACCCTTCCTTCAGTTGGTGGGCCTTTCTCACCTCCCACTCAGCGATGATCGGCACCTTTCCTCACTCTTGCTCTTTCCCCCGTCTCAGAATGTAGAAGGAACCATAAGCAATCCAGGCCCCATGGGTCTGACCTCAGGCCCAGGTCATTAGTGGGAGCACTGGGGCTCAGTCCTGCCAAGTTGGGGCATTAGGTATCGCGGAAACAGATGAGTCTAACACACTGCTTGATTCCTGTGTGCTCCATCTAGCGCAGCAGCTGGCCCTCTTCCCGCCTAAAGCCCCTCTGTCCTCCAGGACGGTGCCACCTTACCCCCCCTTAAGCAACGGACTCCACTACACCTTTGTCTAACACCTTCCAAGTAAGAGCCCATTCTGGCTGCCTGTGCTGCTCACTGCCCTGCCTAGTCTGAGCATGCCCCTCCTCCCTCCTGCTGCTGCTGAGTTGACTGCAATGAGTGCCGCCTGCTAATGCTTCCTCCACTGGCACTGCGGCCGCTGGGGGAACCCACCCGGATGGCAGGCAGGTGGGGGAGCTGGTGCTTTTCAGGAACTCAGGGACCCCAACAGAGAATCTGTGGCTCAGGCCCTTATCTTGCTGAAATCTCCAGAGCCCAAGCTGCATCCATCCCAGGCTGCTTCTGTCCCCAAGGGCAGCTTGATCCCCTATAGACCGGCACAGCCCATACTGCCAGCCTCTGAGGTTGAAGAGTTAGATCTTGGCCTTTCCAGGCTTCAGCCAAAGAAATTAAAGAACTGGAAGACTGGAAAAGGTCCAGGTTGACAGATGACAAAACTGAGGACCAGTGAGGATCTGGGCTCACTTCAAGGTCACAAGTATTGGTGTCAGAGCAAGGACTGGGACTGCTCTTTCAGTCACTGAGCACTTTAAGGAGGGGAGAAAGCCATGTGAACTTGGCTCTTGGCCAGGCAGGATGTTCCCTGATGCAGCTGGTCAGGGAAGGAGCAATAGGCAGGAGCCAGTAGGCCTGATGTCTGGTCTGTCGAGAGCATTCAAGGCCTGGATCTGCTGCTGCTGAGCTGGTTGCTTCACTTGGACAGTGGAGGGCCAGACTAGAGGTCCTGCAGGCCGTCCCTTACCTAATGGTCCGTCTCATCATTTTGCAAAACATTTCCCCCTCTTCCCTTTATACGTTTGGGGTTAACCTTGTTCAATGCCTGCTATGTGCCAGGCATGGTGCTGAACATCACTCTTGATCGGCACAACAACCCTATGAAGACATTTTACATCTTCATTGTACAAATTAGGAAACAAAGCTCAGAGGGACTTGCCCAGGGAGTCACAGCTTGTAAATGTCAGGGTTCAAAGCCCTTTGATGTGAGCCAGAGCCTTTGTTCTCCATCACTACTCGTGGGCTAATCTGGGTTGCCCCCAAGAGCTCTAGGTGTCTGAAAAAGAGAGTGAATTGAGGGACAGTGTTTGTGTTGCTGGGGGCAGGGGCATGATTTTTGGCAGGTGTCCTCCAGCCCAGATGCGTCCCCAGCCTTGAAGCAGAGTCAGCAGGCCCAGGAGCCTGAAGGCAGAACAAAGAAGCCAGCCTGATTGAGCGGGGCTCTCAGGAGGTGTGGAGCAGAGACCCATAACTGAAGAACCCCAGGGAAATGCTCCAGCTGGGTCCTTTGTAAAGGCCACAAGAAACTGTGTGCAGTTTCCTCTTAGAGGTCTGAGCAGGGTGACACTGTGGCTTAGGTATAGAAGGCAAGAGAGAGGCTCTCTTTCCCCTGCCCTCACCCCCCATGGCCTTGTGTTAGGCCTTAAACATGTTTTTCAGAGCACACCTGCATTCTTCCCTGCACAGCTTCAGTAGGAGGCAGGGATGACCAATCTATGTTTAAATTAGAAAAATGAGGCACATGGAGGCTGAGTTAACCAGTCACCCAATAAATGAGAGATAGAGCCATAAGGACCCCAAGAGTCTTGCCCAGGTCCTTTGCCCTACTGCACAGGGACCCAATTTAGAAGCCACCATGTGTCTGGTACAGTTGCTAGAGGTTGAGGGGGAGTTGAGGACCAGTACCCATGAATCCTAGAAGCTGAGGGTCCCATGGCAGCGGCCGCATTGCCTAAGCCCCCTGCTCTTCTGCTCTGTCAGCCTCTCTGCCATCCCCTGTCATGTATGCAAATATACCCACTGCACACTCCCCAGACATGAACAAGGCTCTGCCAGCCTCTCATTGCCTCCTGTGCTTTCTGTCAGCCCAGGCAGTGACTGACCCGTGACCCCGTGTACAGAGAAGCCTGAAGCCAGGGGCCGAGTGGAACCAGCTTCCTCCCAGGAGATCAGCCTTTCTGCCCCCGCGGGAACCCTTCCAGCTGAGCAGGAGTTCTGGCTGAGGAAGGAGCAGCCCACCAACCATGGGGCATCGTGCATAGGGCTTGGTCCTAACACATACCCACTTGCTTTAGTTCAGACTCCTTTTTACGTGGGACAAAGGCACTTTTGATACACATCATAAAATACTGACACTGAATTTTAGAACCAGAATATATTTTATAATGTTCACCTCAAGGGCTGAGTGGCTGGAAAGGTGAGTCTGCAGTGTTTTATAGCTGCACATACAGATTCAGGGACTACTGGGATATTGATGGAGGTTGGGGAGAAGGGCAGGGCAAGCCGAGGCCAATTGAACTGCCAATGAACTCAGGTGAAAGTTGGATTTGAGAATGCATTTCCAGTGGGCTCCAGCATGAGGCATATTGGCATGCTGTCCAGGAAAAGAGCCTGCAGAGATCAGTGTCCCTGACCTGGTGACCAGCTCTGAGTTCAGCTCTGCCGGGATGGCACATGGAACCAGTCCGTGCCTTGACCCTTGGCTTTGGTTTAGGGGTAATAAGTGTTCAAGAGTTTTGGGCTCCTCAACTTCTCAGAAAGAAAAAGCAGTTTGTTGTCATTAAAAAAAAGAACAAAAAACTTTGAAGTACAAAGATGAGAGGAAGTAACTTTATTGTATCAGAGCAATAAACTCCATATCGGGTGGCATCTACCTAAAAACCTCTTACTGAATGCCAACCCTCCAGGCAGGCCATAGCAGAACCTTTGCTGTCCATCCTAGAGAACCCCAGGTCAGCTTCTCTAGACTTGGGTCTGGTGGCAGGACAGGCAGGGTGCTTGTCAGCAGCAGGGCCACGATGACAGGACTTTGACCTGACTTCCAGCCCCAGGTGAGGAGGCTACCAAGCCAGATGCAGTGTTTGTGGTCCTTTAAGTCGTCTCATGATATTCTGCATACAGGAAACGATATTTAAAAGGAAAAAACAAAAAAAACCTCCATTGGGTGGAGCCACATTGTAAGTGAAAATTTGTCTTTGACTATGCTCAGAAAAAAAAAAAAAAAAAAAGAATCTTGAATATATTTAGAAGTTGCCGTCTATTTTTAACTAACTCCATATGCTGCCAGTATCAACTTCATGACATTTGCCAAAATAAAGTTTTATTTTTGCCTTTTTAAGATTTTGTTGGAAAAATGAAATGAATATTTTGCAAGATAAAGTTAATTTAAATAAAAGTGTAATGGTTTGCAAAAAAAAAACCAAAAACAAAAATGTGATGTACAGATTAAAATATTAACCTGATATATTTCCTGTTTCTTGCTGACTGTTCTCTCATGATGGCCTGTGTTCATTCTTTTCCATTCACCTGTTTATGTTCACCTATGAAGTCTTTCCTGGTGACAGCTCCTTGACACTTGAGTGATTTTGGAGTCCTGGGGGAAAAGGAGCCTGGGTTTTGAGCCTTTGGCTGGTCTTCAGCAAATGCTTGGGATGGCCCCCAGCCCACCCCACCCCACCCCACCCCACCCAAGTCAAGGAGTCGCCAGGCTGTGGACTCCTGTGTGAGGCCGGCTTGGCAGGCATATTGCAGTCCAATCCAAGACAGCACAGGGGATGCTACAGGCCCCCTTCCAACCCGCACACCACCAGCTCGCTCCAATGAAGCGGGTTAGTGACGGACCACTGCAAACTGGATTTGTATTTAATTCATTTTGACTTGCGATGTATGCTTAAAACAGAAGGCAGGAGGCCAGTTCGGTTGAGGGATGTGTACATTTCCAAGTTTGTTGTTATGGCAGTTTTTCTCTACTGCCAAGAAGAGCATCAGAGGTTTGGAGTGACTTTCCAAGTATTCAAACTAGGGAAAGTAGATTCCAAGGCATTCTGGACAAAGGATACTGCTGCTTTTTTAGCCACTGATCTTTTTAAATTTTAAAATAAAAAGTACTCTCTAGTTTTAAAACGTTATTTGGAGATGTTGCCATAACAGATGAAAGGGGTGGGGTTGGGGATAATTCTATAACTGAGTGCAATGGTCTCCAAAAAAAAAAAAAAAACCCACAAGAGGTAGTAACCACCCATAACCAACCAACAGCATAGCCATCTGTAGACATTTTCTCAGTGAAAATATGTCCATGGTTTCATACTGTTGGCCTCAGTTTCTGTTTCACACATACAGCCCTGCGTATGAGGGAATATGGCAACTAGCTGCTGTTTCCAGAGTGCTCCACCAGGGAGGAGGGGTAGAGTGTCCTATGAGAATCATGGCCCAGATTTTAATCTTCCAAGACTGTGACAGGCCTTCATTCAAATTTAGCAGAAAGCACTCATGGTTCAGAAAAGGCGCGTGTCAGCTCTATCTGTGAAGGAGCAGCATGGCCTGGCTTTTCTCAACCCCTGAGAGGACTACGTTCAGGAAGGTACTTGTGACTGGGTACACTCCAGGGTGGGGACAACTCTGCAAACTCCATGTGGCCCCACAATTCCTTCCAGGGATACCCTGGGTCTGAGCAGAGTTTTAAGTACTGGGGTTTGCAGTTGGCAAAGTGATGTGAATGTGTTCTGCATCTGCATCTGTTCATTGACCTCCATCCTAACTTTGACCCAGGGTCACATGGGCCCAGCATGTCTATCTAATTTTAATAAGGACCAACACATGTATTTCATGATGTCTCAAACAGAGATTAGGAATAAAATCTTTTCCTAATCCACTTGAACCTCTGGAACTGTGAGTATTCTCAACAAGTCTAGGGTATTGCTTCAGTGATGACGTGCATATAGTTTACGAGTACACACAAAGATGTGCCAGACCAATGTGGGTGTTGGAAACAACCGTCTTGTTTTGTCCCCATCGTTCCCTCCGTGCCTGCCTTGGTGTCTGGCTGTGGCGTGTAAACTGCAGTGGGCCCTTTCCTTCCCCTCGGCTGGCTTCAAGTAAGCCGGGGTCTCCTGTTTTTCTGGCTCTTTTAAGTGCCCACTGGCTCTCTCCAGGAGCCTACAGGGCTTCTTGGTTAGCTTGGGGAGGCAAGGTGTGTGGACAAGGGGGTGAGGTGGTTATAGACCCTCGCTCAGCCAGACATGGGCCCATGTTGTCTCTGGGAGTTTCCTGCAGCTCAGTACTCCATGGTAAATCCTTCTGTGTTCACACCTAGGGTGGAAAAGAAGAAGCAAATTATTTGTCTAATCCATAAATCACATTTCTGAGACATAGCAGGCCAGTGCTGAGAGCCCTTTGCTTCCATCTCAGCATCAGACACAGGGCTTTGCAAGGGACTTTGCCAATGTGGGTTGTGCGACGTTATGAAAAGAACAAAGGGACCAGGCTGGGGAAGACATGAAAAATGGCAGCCCCTCCCAGCACAGTAAACACGCCATTGCTTTGCCGCCTCCACTCAAAGGCTACCACTTTCATTGCTCCCCTAGCAAAGGAACCTTTCTTCAGAGCGAGTGGCAGGGTACAAAGGCAGAGCACAAAATGTGTGCACATCACAGTCCCTGCAATTCTGTTTGAACAGCATATTGATTGGGTCTGACCCTGTTACATTTTTCCCTATTATTTGAAAAGGTGCATCTAAGTGTAGTGAATTGAACCAGCAGAGCTGAACTTTGCATGAAAACTTCCTGAGGTATTTCTTTAGTTCAAAGCTTTTGAATTTTAAAGGGCATTTTTAATATGTGTCTGTTGAGTAATTCTCTGCCACAGCCCAACAAGCCATGTCAAATGCAGATGAGGCTGGAGAGGGAGGCTGGGGTGAAGGCAGAGGCTGTGGTTAGAAGGTGTGGACCAGCCTGGCCTTGGGGGAGATTCAGGCTTTGGGGAGAAAGGCTGCACTCCAGCTTGGGAGTATCTCAGCCCTAAAAAGGACCTCTCTGAGCATACTAGGGACAGTGTAGCCACAGGAAAGAGGCTTCACAGCTGAGCTACCTGAGCCTCTCGCCGCCGATAGTTGCAGGTGATTTTCACCTGTGCTCAGAGCTACATTTCAGTCTTTCACTGATTTGATACCTGTGGATGGTTTGCTAGTTTTGTGGGTTCCTTATGCCATCGTGGCCCAAGGCCATGAAATTATCCATGAAGTGTCATTCCCCTCCACATGTAGGGAAGCTCTGATGACCCCCTGAGAACTGGCTTCTTGTAGGTCTGAGTCTGCAGTTGTCCCCAAAGGCCTTTTGACTCTAGGAAGTACATCCGTCATTGACCCAGAATTCAGGCTCCGGCAGAACTGTGCCTGAAAGGGCTGGAATATTAGGTCCTATACTGAAAAAACCCAGGGCTTGGACATCTTAGCAAAATTCTTTCAGCAAAGGCCCTGCCAAACCTCCAGCCTAGAAGACAGTGGATTGTGGGAGTCGTCATAGGGTCAGAATCACAAAAACTGGTTTTCTGGGTCCATCTCTGCTCACAACTATGGGACACTAGCCCCCTTCAGATTCCTCCACTTTGTTCTGGGAGTCCTTAGGCGTGATCCACGTATACCCTGAAATTTGTTTCTAGACTTTCATTTCCAGGTCTTCCTTCTGTGACCTGTTTCTAGAGCCACTAGCTGGTGGGCACAAGGAGTTCCTGATAGAACAGTAGCAACTTAGATTTCATGGCATATCCCGTTTTGTTCACCATGAAGGGCCTTGGGTGGTGTCTCATCGTTATCTCTGGGAGTCTCTGGACATACATCAGGCAGGTTGACAACAGTCCTCTCAAGTTTGAGTTTTCCCACTTGCAGCTTCTAGATGTCTGCTGGCCATGAAGGTGCTCCAGGGTGGCCTCTCATTCCAAGCTCCTGCCCCCTTCCCCAGGCTGCAATCCCCTAAAGTCTTGAAGAGCGTTTCTCTCTGTTGTTCTCCCTGGCCAAACCCAGGCTGTGGTCTGTGCACTGATGGGAGAGGTCCATTCCCTTGGTTTATGTCTCCTGGGCCCCATAGCAGGGCCGCCTATGCTCAGTTCCTCGGAACCCTGAGGACCTGTTCCTCTGCGTCTGCCCGGACTCTCTCCCCACAGGACACAGCAACATCCTGTCTTCCTCCCTCCCTCCCTCCCTCCCTCTATT